CTCATTATGAACTTTCTCTTCCTTCTTCAGATGAGTTCTTCTCATTATGAACTTTACCTGGCAATGTTGATCCATCAAATGATGAATTCAAGCAAAAGGTTGAACAAATTCTTCTCATTATGAACTTCTTCTTCCTTCTTCAGATGAGTTCTTCTCATTATGAACCTTCTCTGGCAAAAATAATCCATCAAGTGATGAATTCAAACAAAAGGTTGAACAAATTCTTCTCATTATGAACTTCTTCTTCCTTCTTCAGATGAGTTCTTCTCATTATGAACCTTCTCTGGCAAAAATAATCCATCAAATGATGAATTTAAACAAAAAGTTGAACAAGTTCTTCTCATTATGAACTTCTTCTTCCTTCTTCAGATGAGTTCTTCTCATTATGAACTTTCTCTGGCAATGTTGATCCATCAAATGATGAATTCAAACAAAAAGTTGAACAAGTTCTTCTCATTATGAACTTCTTCTTCCTTCTTCAGATGAGTTCTTCTCATTATGAACTTTCTCTGGCAATGTTGATTCATCAAATGATGAATTCAAACAAAAAGTTGAACAAGTTCTTCTCATTATGAACTTTCTCTTCCTTCTTCAGATGAGTTCTTCTCATTATGAACTTTCTCTGGCAACGTATGATCCATCAAGTGGATTTGAAATCTTTGCTAAAATCTTTGAAATTTCTGTTAAAAATTCAACAAGAATAAAAATGAATGAAAATGCATCTATTTTTGCAAATGCCTAAATATGATGCATGAATATTAAGTTGTTTGATTTCAGACTGGTAAATTGAGTATTTCTTCAATTATAAAAACCCAATATATCTGTCTTCTTCAAATCAAAGAATCTATCATCTTTGACAAATGTAGATGTAGATATAATGTCACAAAACCTCTTGAGAATAAAACTCAATAGTATAAACTCTTGAAAAGCTTGTATTCAGGCAACATGTTGATTCTGATAACAACTCATCTGATTATGAAGTGACCTTTCAAGATGATTTCACAGATATCGATAGTTCTTTTAATACCGAGAAATCTTGAATTCTGAGGAGAATAAACTGTTATACTTGACAAAAATGGGATTCTCATGGGCTGAAACTTCAATAGCCCTGAAGAAATGTGGTCCAGATTCATCAATTGCAGAATTGGCAAATTTCATATGTGCTGCTCAAATGACTAAGGCTGCTGATGCATTTCTTCTGGTAAAAAATAGGAAGTCATTATGCAATGATCCCAATTACAAGCAAATGCAAAACTTGGGCTATGATTTGTGGAAAAGGAAGAAGCAGAGGAAGCTTGAAAAGAAGCTTCTTAATGAAGATGATCATGCAGTTCATCTTTCTATTCCAATGATCGGTTCTGGGGTTCCTACCGAATCAGATCAGATAACTCAAAGAACACTTCCAGAAGATGCTATTGAGTCTCCTTATTTCTACTATGAGCAAATTCATCTTCCAAATTCAATGATTGGTTTTGTCCAACCAGATTAGATAACTCAAAGAACACTTCCAGAAGATGTTATTGGTAAATTCATCTTCCATTTAATGTTTGGAATGGGATATCACAGTACTTAGTCGATGTAAAGCCAGAATTTGTAGATTCGAAGCATTTCCATGCTGCTACACTAAAAAAGGCTATATTCATAATCTGCCAACAGAGTTTCTCTTATTCTGCTTCTTTCATGTGCTGATGCTTTTCCATTGACAAAGAAATGATGGCCTTCTTGGAATCCAAGAATAAAGTTAAACTGTTTATAAACATGTACAGGAAGTGCCAAATTGACAGAAAGGATCTGTAAGGTTCTTGAAGCTTATGACAATGAGCCACCTTAGAGTGTCCAGAAGTATGTTCTTAATGAATGCTGAAAATGGAATCTAGTATGGGTTGGAAGGAATAAAGTTGCTCCACTTGAACTTGATGAGGTGGAAATACTTCTAGGTTTCCTTAAAAACCATACATAAGGATCTGTATAGAGACATATTTCCCATTAATATCAATGTCTTGTTTCTTTTTGCTGGAATCAGTACTGCAAAGATCATCTTCTACTGTTTTAGTATATCTTTGAAAACAGATGTGCAAGAACTGACTGGTGATCGGTTGGAGCAATTGATGAGTAGATTTGGCGGATTCGACCTTGTTGTCGGTAGCACCATTTGTAACAATCTTGATGTTCATGGCTTTAAGCTAGTGATGATTTGCCTACTTTGTATTCCATGTATTTAAAAGTATTAACATAAAGTGATATTCAGAAATCTTTAATTATTTCAAAATTATGTTAATTCAATAGAAAAGAATAAATTGAATTTCCAAAAATAAATTGAATCTCAAATAAATTGAATTTGAAATAGATATAATTGTATTCAAAGTTATGACAAGCATAAGAATAAAAATTCAAATGTCTCAACAAATTATAAGCATAAGTATTTCTAAATTAATCAAGTTGACACAATTTAGAGATGATGTAAGCTTTTGTCTGGAAGATCTCAAACGTTGTCAAAATGCTTGTAGATGTGAAGTTTCTCCCAAACTGTCAAAATCTTAAGAGGGTTCAATTGCCAGATGCCTAATATCAACCTGCATTTGAGCCGCCTTTTCAGGTTTTCAACTCAAATCCTTCCTTTGGTTACAAGATGCCCTTTGCGGGTTTTCACCTTGACCCCCTTTCTTTTTTTCTTCTCTTTTTTATTTTTTTATTTTTCTTTTCTTTTTTCTTTTCTTTCTTTTCTTTTTCTTCAAGCATAATATTTCTTGACAGAATCCAAGTTTATTGGATTTCTCAGAATTTTTCCATCCATTTCTGCCAAGATCAACGCTCCTCCGGAAAAGGCCTTTTTCACAACGTATGGTCCTTCCCAATTATGCATCCATTTCCCACGGAAATCTTTATGTATAGGCAAGATCTTTTTTAATACTAGATCACCCTCTTGGAATTCTCTTGGATGTACTTTTTTGTCATGAGACTTCATCATTCGTTTCTGATACATCTGTCTATGGCAAATAGCTTTCAATCTTTTCTCCTCAATAAGGTTCAATTGATCAAATCTAGCTTGGATCCATTCAGATTCATCCAATTTTATTTCTCTCAATATTCGGAGCGATGGAATCTCCACTTCAATTGGTAAGACTGCTTCCATCCCGTAGACTAAAGAAAAAGGCGTTGCCCCAGTAGATGTTCGAACAGTAGTTCGGTATGCATATAGAGCAAAAGGTAACTTCTCGTGCCAATCTTTGTAAGTTTCAGTAGTCTTTGTAATGATTCTCTTGGTCTTCGGTGGCCGGAAAAAATTTTTCTTTTATCTAAACGTAGATCGGACCGTCCTAATGACGGTTCCGATGTTTTTTTCCGTTAAACGGCTCCCAATCGGAGCAAATCTAAAATAATACCTTCGGCTTTTCGAAGGTTTTGGTGAGATCCGGCGACGGTTGTGGTTCTCCGTTGACATGGTAAGCTTCTTTCCTCTCTTTTCCTTTTTTTTTTCCTTTTGTTGATGTTGACTGAGATCGTTGGTATAGTTTTTTTTTCCTTTCTCTGTTTTTTTTTCTGTCTCTGTCTCTGGTTTTTTTGTCTCCGGTTTCTGTCTCCTTTTTTTTTTTTCTTCGCAGGTGGGGTGGTGGCTTTTATAGCCACCACCATTGTATCCGTCGGACCGGTCCGAAGAAGGGCTCTCGGTGAGTCACCGGACTACCAGTGGTGACTCACCGAGTAGCCATGGCGTGGACGGCTGCCATTTTATCTTCTGGAGTCTTCGGTTGGGACGTGGCAGCGGCGGAGGCGGCGAGAAGACTGTCGGCAGCCGCGTGGAAGCTGGGGCGGCGCCGCGTGGCCCTAGGGTATCAAACCCTAGGGTTCCTTTCTGGAGCCATCTGGACCGTTGGATCTTGCCAGATCCAACGGCTATGAGCTGAGGCGGCTGATTAGATTAGGGTTAAGAAACCCTAACTGGAAACCCAAATATTTAGGGTTTCTGGTTGGATCTGGACCGGTTCTGGTTGATTTGTAACTGGGCCGGTCCAAATGTAATGGGTCTGTAATTATTATTATGTATTTAATATATTTAATATAAATTAATAATAATAATAATAATAATAATAATATGGATAATAATAATATTAATAATAATAATGATAATAATAATATTAATAATAATAAGGATAATAATAATATTAATAATAATAATATGGATAAAAAATTTAGTATCTTCACAGTTTGACAAAAAAAATCACAATTAGGGAATGACAATTAAGTAAATAAAGCTTATTGACGGTCAAAAAGTAGACCAAAACCGTCGAGCAAAAGGCCGACTGCATAGAACAAAGCCCTTTTCTTCATATTACTGCCGATGGTGGTTAAATTTAATATTACTTGAATAAATCTTTAATTTAAGATTTTATATATATAAAAAAAAATTATTAGGAGATTTATTCATTAAAATCAAGTGTACAACATGAATCAATTTTTGATTAATCAAAATAAATCCTTAAAATTTTGAAAAAGCAATAAAAAAAGAAATTTTGATAAAATCAGTTTTATATTATTTTCCATAGTTCTTCATATTTCAATGCCATTAATAGTAAATATTAAATCTGTAAAATAATATTTTTATTTAGTTTTTTATTAGTGTAATGATTACATTTATATATTTAATAATATAGAATTTGATTTGAATCAATCTCTCTAATAGAAAAATTAAATTCATCTATTCCGTAATAAAGACATTAAATTAATACAATCTCATTTGGATGCATGACAATGTTACAATTTCAATATACGGTTTTCCTTTTTAATTTTTGAATTTAAAAATAAAAATAGGAAACTAGTGTCACTTTTAATTCTTGCCTTTTGATTTTTGCAACCCTACCAAAAATGTAATTTTCCCTACAATTTCCTTTGCTTTTTTTTATCCTTTGGACAAAGATAATTCATATCTTTCACTCGGTTGCGTATTTACAAATAACAAGTGTCAACAGATTTTAATTAAATATATGTAATTTACTGTATTACCCCCCCCCCCCAGGGGAGCGAGGCAAAAGAATTTGACATGTGCAGATCCCAGGCACTTTCTCCATTTCAACAATGCTTACTATATATGCTTCAATTCCATCCCTCTGTGTTCAGAGTAAGACTGTAATGGCATTTTGAGCACCTTCCAAAAGCTTTTGTTCAAACAGCTTCACTCGTCGTTCGTCTCCACCTCAATATGACAGGAGCAACCAGCATCCACACTGCAACCACAATATCTTATTGTACCCGAATTTGAGTAACACAAGAGAAATGGACATCTCTAGTTCTAGTTAAAGTACTTACAGTAAACACAGACAGCTAGCCATTCATTCACTATCCTGACCCAAGTACTTGTCCAACCAACATCGATTGTCCATCTGTAGAAGTACAATGGAGTAAAACATCTGATGTCATCGGATAAGATGTTACCAAGAAGTAAATTAGTCATCGAGAAGATGGAGTGCAGTAGCGTCTTATAATATATGTATGATTCCATTTATTCGAAATTCAATATAAATCAAACTACAAATGCACGAGGGGGACATACTTTTTAATGGTGTGATGAGTATTCCAGCCAATCAGCAGCATTGCGAAGTACATCGCACCAGTGGCAAAAACGAAGTGGAAGAAACCGTAACCGTATGGTACAGCATCTTCAGCACGTGCTTCCTTTTTCCCGAACTGAATCTGTTGTCAGATGCATTTTCATGGAAAATAAGGAGACAAGAAATAAAACATTTATGATTCAAGCAGAACAAACCTGAAAACATTGAGAATCGATGCCGGTTGAAAATGTAGCAATAACCATAGACAGTAGCGCAACAACAAAGCTCTGAAAGAATTCACAGAGTTATTATCATGCTCCAGGTAAACTTTACAAGATACAGTTATACGTCTTAGAATCTCTTCAAATCAGGAAAATAAAGTCTTTTTCTTTCATTATAACATATCATATTTCGTTAAGTTATGAAAGTTAAAAGAGCAGTCATCGGTACTTGGGTCAAAACGTTCAATAGATTTTTCAGAGAATGACATATTACTATGATGGTGAGCCAGTCTGTCTTGTTTGATGCCTCTGCCTTTCTGTTGCAACTTTCCCCTGCTGGTTCACTGCAAAGAAAGAAGAGCTTATCTAATTGAATTTAACAATAAATTGATAAAATACTTTTGATTCTCATAATTGTTAATCCGTCATATTGGCACAGAAAGTGGGAAGATTATATATTTTCGGTTTTCCTAGGACTGTGACGGGATTCAAGGGTATTGCTCCATAGGTCCATTTTCTTTGTTTGAACACCAATTTCAATGGTTGCAGTTCATAACCCTGAAATGTTAATGGATGCACTCTGAAAACCATAGAACAGACTTATCTCAATCCAAAAAGCTTAAAAAATACCTTCGAATGGCACACCAACAGATGAATACCACATAGAGCCCCATAAGCCCTGGAGTTAAGAAGCCCGCATTGATCTGTTTTGGCAAAAACAAGGGTATCATGCGTTTCATTCAAAATTGTATTATAAAATTTAGGAAATGAAAGGGCAAGGATTGCCAGGAACATACTTTCGGGTGGAGGGAAACACTGGTCATTAGCTGCAGGAGTACCAGCGTCCATGTGATGAAGAAAATGTTCAGAAGGCAGGACGGTTCTGGTGCATACCAGATATACATCAAGATGATCCCAATTATGCATATAATATATGCGGCAGTAGCAATTAACATCACATGGATGTGGCTACAAAAAGAAAGTGATATTTTTAGCAGCAGTAAAACCAAAATACATACCAAGGAGTGGTTATGTCACCATTTTTTTTACTTCTAAGAAAATTATTTCCAATCTCAAAAAGCATTGAAGGCATTGTGCGAGAACCATACCAAATTTCCAAGAATTTAACCATATGAAAAATAACAAATATACATATTTAAAGTTCATTATCTCGGCCTCAGAATTGAACCATACAAGAGATGAGTCTTACCATCTTTCAGCATTTTTATCAGATTGACAACAATCATTCAGCCATGTAATGAAACTGATTACGCTTACGAGCTGAACTAGGAGAAAGACCCTGAAAATGATAGGCAGAATATAAGAATGACTGAAGTGTAACATAGGAAGCATCTTCAACTTCCCGAACAGACTATTCCAATAAAATTTGTACATCTTTACATAGGGGAATTTTAAAAAGGAATCTATGGTACCCATACCCGGCACCAAAATGAGCAATCTCCCCTGTCAGTAAGAGCAACGGAAGGAAAAAGGAGGAAGAGAATACAACATGTCAGACCATTTATGTTGATCAGATTAACATGAAAACTGAAGCTAAAGTCCTGGAATTAATTATGGAAAGAGGGTTGAAGAACAGAACCATATATCTGTACGATGAAGGTAGGAATCAAAAAGGAGGTAGCTGTCAAGGCAATCCAGAGGCCAAACTTTGGAGACCACCATCCAGAATGCCATGAGTCTCTGCAATTGTACATCCTTGGGTTGCCAGCAGTGGAAAGAAACATTACAATATAGAATGCCTAAAATTAAATTAAGGAATAATGACATATTCAAAAAATTAAAAAAATAAACAAATAAAAACTGGAATTACAGAACTATAAATAAGGTAGCTTCTAGTTCTTATTTTCTTCATTATCTATAAGGTTTGAGAAGAGAGCTACTTTTGGTAAGCCAAGTTCTATTCAGCATTCTGTTATTTGGCATTCTACATCTAGCCGTTGAGCTCTTAATGTCATTATTATCAACAAAGAAAAACACATATATATCCATTATAATGACTTGAGGATACAAAACATCCCAAGCTCACACGTAGGACTCCTTCGGCTCCCAAACAACCGTGGCCACCTTGGCAATTCTTCAGTTCTGCAACCACATTCCCACATACATGCTGATTAACATTATTGAAGTCACCTTCATAGAACTCTAGCATGAAGAAACTGATTGCAAATACAAAAGCAAGTATAGTGTATTCCACGTAACATTTTGACAAATAATGCTGATGCAAACAAGCAACTTACTTTCCATTTCAGGGAAGGCATTGCGGCCATAATCTCGAACTGCCCAAGCCAGCAAATTCGAAACCAGAAAGATCAAAGCATAGACATATCTAGCCATCCAAGGATTGAAGCCATTCCTGAACTGGCTAAACCACGAGTCATCCTTAAAAACCCATTGCCTCTCATTGCGGTTGTTACTTCCTAAACCACTCTCCATTTCACTTTCACCTTCCACTCTTAATCACATTACGGATTCGTATATTTCCAGGAATGTAGTAAACCAGTCGATTCCAGTCCACCGAGAATCTTGTTATCTACAGTAAAATTACTAAACCAATACAATAATAAAATAAAAAAAGTAACATTATATAATCATGTTTTGTCCCGGTGGATCCACCTAAATGCCAAAAAGTTAAAACTCCGAAATTTGTGCTCAAGAAAAACGGGATTTGGGCTTTTAATGATTTCGGTTTACAATAAAGCGTAAGAAAATTAAACGTGATTAAATTAATTTAAATTAGGTTTATAAAATTTTTTCACGCATTTAATATATTTATTCTAAATATTTTTAATTATTTTAACAATAAAAGCTTAAACACCCTTACAATTTCTGATACTCAAACCTATAATCTATAAATATAACAATTATACTTTTAACCACTAGGTACGAGCTTGATTTGTACTTGTTCTCTTGTATTCTAAAATTTCATCAATTCATCAATTTGATTAATATTAATCATTAATTTAATATTTTTTCAGATCAATCGATGTGTCACGTATTAAGTTATAATGTTTTTTGCCTTATGTCAGCAAAAAGAACTATATTATGTGAAAGTAATATCTCAAAGAAAAGTTAGTAACATTTAATTATTAAAATTAATTAAATGACTTAATTAGTCTGATTTTTAATTTATAAGCTTGTTTGATCCAATTTTTTAATTAAAAAGTTAAATAAATAAATAAAATTCAAAGGCTCTAAACAACCTTGATCCAATAAATTAAAACCATTAATTAGAGTAAAACTAATCACAAAGAAAAACCATTTCTGATTTCTCATCTGACATAACATACTGTTACAAGTACAACAAGCAAGAAGCTAAAGAATTGCGTGCAATTCACGGCAAATTTCTACTTTTTTTTTCCTCTTTCCTTTGAATTTAATGGATTCCAAGTTTAAAACCAAACCGTTGCACCGAATTTTGGCTGTTAACGAGTAAAGAGAAATAAATTTTGGCAATGGAGTATTACTTGTGGTTCATGCAACATTCAGAATAAGAATTAAAACAACAGTCTAATTTTTCTTTTTTCCCGGAATTAAAAAGAAAGATGGTTTTGTTTCTCTTTGCATGGAAAAGCGTGAAAGGATTAAGAGATGAGTAAAGGAATCTTTGAAATCCTTTTCTCCCGTTGCAAGAAGTCCTTTTGTTTTTAGCAAACTTCCTAATCCGGTGATTTGATTTGAGCAGAAGTTCAAAACAGGATTAATGATGTTAACTTCCAATCTTATATGGCTTAATTGACAACTTGCCTCCTAAACTATTTTTTCTTTGTTCTGATTGCGCAATGAAATAAGGAAAATTTAAGTTCCTTTCAGAAACCGAAACATTTCTTTTATCACTATTTGCATGAGCTTCGAAATCATTTTATTTCCTTTCAGAAACCCAATATAAATGCTTAAGCACAAGAATCATAAACTAAAAACGGGAAAAAAATAACTGAACTGAAGTTACAGAGGAATGCAATCAATGAAGAAATGAATGTTTAATTACCTCAAAACACTTAGGCCCAAAGCATTAAGATCCAAAACAGAATCGTCGCAGCAAACAAAGCAGAGCTTTCTTCATCACTATTTTCCAGAACCAGAAAACAGAGAAAGAATAATCGAAGAAAATGCAAACAGAGCGATATTGCGCGATCTCTCAATCTTATTTTATTATTTGGTTCTTTCCGAATGGTGTTTTTAGGAAAATATAAAGAGAGATACAGAGAGATTGCTTTTGGAGCGTTTTTGTTTGCTTTCTTTTTCCTTCTCCCGCCGTAAGCTTTATGTAAACGAAAAATTTATTACGTATTTTTGAAATCTTAAAAGAACATTAAAAAGATACATGTAATTTTATTTAGTTTAAAACTATTTAAAATTTTATTACCGTAAAAAAATTATTAACGCTCCCTAAAAATAACATTTTTTATTTTAAATTTTCAAACAAAAAATATCTTAAAATATTTAGATTTTTTCATATTAGTATTATTATTATTACTTCACATATCGTACCGAATTTAAAATATATTTCACATATCATATTGAGGGCTAATGCTTAAGAAGCACTCGTTGGTTGAGAAAGTGGGGGCAGCAGATGGCAAAGGAAAATTGGTGTTTATTGATTGATGTTTTCACTCAAAGGCACAAAAGGTTTTCGTTTAAGATAAACGATGATGCAGGAAATTATCGTATAAAAAATGCAATCTCTGTTTTCGTTGTTTGGTTGTCGAGAAAAAGAAGTGATTTCGGTGAGAAAATTCATCATTCTTCTGAAAAAGCTTACGTGTTTAGATTTTGCTTTAAGAACAAGGTATTTTATTGGTTCAGGCAAATCTTTTGATTCCGTCTGCTTGCTTAATTGTACACCAATGGAAGAAAACTATAGATACTAGCAAATATTTATATATAAAAACTCAGACATTAATTCACAAAATTAATAAACATATATACAAAAAAAGTATTTCATTTTGTTTACGAGAATTTTATTTAACTAATAAATTATTTTTATTAATTCAAAAGTAAATTGTGATCAATATCGATGAATATTAATTATCATTTTCAAAAAATATATGTCCTAAAAATGTCTTTACCAGCTTTTGGAGAAGCATGGTGCAATTTTCAGCACACCCACCGCAAGTAATCATTGAACCTATGCTTTTATAATTGATTTTCTTAGAAAGAGATACATAGCTAACGATTAATGAATGTGTTTATTCTTAATGTATTAAATTATGATATAATTATTTTGTAACAAAAAAACTATGATATTATTAGTTACAATTATTTTAAAAATTCATATTAACATTTCATATTTATCAATTTTCTGGTGGATTTTCTTTAAAAGAAAAGGTGCCAATGAATATTTTTCTTATTTAAAAAGTAATTATTCGTAATTTCCTTTACTTTAACATATAAAAAAAACCATGTATATTTAATAATGAAATGAAATGAAAGATGTATAAATGTAATTATGCAAACTAGACGAAAAACAAAACAAAACAAACGAGGTTAAATGGATTTTTACCATTCATGACACGGCAAATGTGATAGATTCATAGTATGGGGTTCTCTTATGATCTATACATACATCTTTCTTATTTTGTTTTATTCTTATTAAATTTGCAAATCACATGGAATTTATTCTTTGGACCATACAAAATCGGACCGTCCATATAATACCTAACAGAATGTAAAGAACATTCTCCTCTTTCTTTTTCGTTTTATTTTTTTTAAATAGAGAAATCAATTTAGAAGAAGCTGGCTCATACGCTGAAAGTGCAACGGGACAAAATAATTTATTGTGCGATGTCTGTTTAATTTTTTTTTCCCACTTTTATTATTAATACCAATAACTCAACTGTTTTGTTTTAGTACGTAAGAATTAATGAGTGCCGTGGAAAATGATTCACTATTCTCGCGATCCATGTTCGAATCACCTGCTTTAGCTGTTCGAGACTTGTCCACACACAATGCTATATCATTACTAGGAGAACGTCAATCAAGGTAGCTTCAAATCCAAGGCTAAAAACCTCTTCTTTTTCTCTCTTTTCATGAAAGTTCATAATTATTGCTCATGACTATATTTTATACAGAATTAAATAAAAGTGGAATAAATAAAGCAGCGATCGAAGAGCATTGAATATGTGACTGAAATCATGAATCTTAGTCCGACGAGTGTGGTGTGGTGTTGGAATTCGATTTTAATTATTATTTTTTGAAAAAATCCAGATCTAAACCTACACACATGTATAGATAATATTGTTCGAACTTGAATCACTTAATTCAAGAGTTCGATCCATCTTATTATTATATTTAAGTAGGATGTGGCTTTTGATAGAATAAAAGAAGCTTTTTAACTTGCAAACTTGTTCATTGAAATTGGGAGTGAATAGGGCTGAGCTCAACTTCAAAATTAGTTATAGGGCCCAAATCATATAGTTTAAGGGTCCAAATGGATAGGCTCCTTATAACCTTTGGACTATATCTTAGGCCTATTTGTTCTTTCCATGAAAAGAAAGACGATGATTATGTATTAGATAACATGTGCTAATTCGAGAATATTAAAAAATAAAAATTCAATTCCATATTTAACCAATCAATTGATTGATATAGTTGTATTTTATATATACATTTAAGAAATAATTTTATTTTTACATAAGTTTTATTAATAACTAAATTCACATGATTTGACTTATCTCATCATTATATGAACTTAACAATTTTCTCAATATACAAATTCGTTGCATTTTAATCAAAATCATTTATTGTTTTCCATCATCGACCAGTTTCTGGTAAAGAAGATGATAATGTGTGGTTAATACTACCCAACACTCGTTGATGGAATTATTGACTATGGTTTCATACATCAATGGCTATCCAACTCCCAATGCTAAATGCTATATATTTCCTATCACCTCTATAACCATATAAACTCAATTGAATTAAAGGCTGAACCGAATTAAACTCTTAAATATCAAAATTAATTTATTTAATACTAAAAGAAACCTTTGGGGTGCGAATATTACAGAAAGTGATGTCCAAAACAGAAGAATTAGCATCGGCCGCCCTCCCCTACTCTCACAATTATCAACTAGTATTCTAGATTCTCATAGGGATTTAAATCCTCTTTAATACAATGCATTATTTTGTGTTAATAAGTGGCATCTTCTCATCTCTTTGTAAGGATTCGTTTGTTTTTTTTTAACAATGCCTTATCATTGGGGGATTTGGTAGAGAGATCTTTGTTTAGTTCAAGGTTATTTAATTTAATTTCTTCATGTGGCTGGTTGAAGGGGTCGGTCGATTTTCATATGCCATAACAGTGACTCTTTATGATTAGGCCATTAATAAATGTGAGCCAACAGCCTGTCCAAGCCCCAAACTCCCCTAATTAAATGATAATTGTGTCCCATTTTTTAGGTAAAACAAAATCCCAAAAGAAAAATCATTTTGCCATTCAAATTGACATTACCTTTCTGATGTGCCCCATGTGGCTGTAACATTTTTAGGACTCTCTTTATTATTTATTGTTTGGATATAGTTGCAACTATCATTCAATGGCAATTACAAGTAGAAAACTCTGTTATGATGTAACTAATAATGCTATGATCCCACAGCCGGCTCTTCTTTCTTTAATATTCCATTCTCGTTTTTAATTTATTATCAGAGGAGTATTAGGTGTGTACATGGACCCTTTATTTTTAATATTGCTCCAAGGCCAGAAAACCACAAGAGCAAGTAAGCACATTACATAGATCCTTGAATTAATTGTATATATTATAATGCAAATTGGGGAAATAAATAAAATTAAAAGCTTACTTCACTTTGTCCAAGATAGTGTACACATTGGAGATCAAACCGCAGTACTCAAAGGTTGAAAAAGTAGGCATCTTTCCTTTTAACTAATGGGATTGTTTTAGCGGTTGAATACAGAAAGCAATATTCTGGGTTCCACCAATGGAGTGGAAAGTTGTGTGCTTTCTTTAACTTTTAATTAGGGAAATACTGGGCCAACACCATCCTCTCCCATCTTAAAAGTAGGGGTGAAAAAAACAGAAAGAAAGAAAAAGCAACAGTTATGGTGATTCACACATTTCACATGCTCCCAGTTCGTGTTAGAGCCAGACAGGAGTTTAGCTGTGTTGTTTTCTTCAAATTCTCGAAAGAAGCTTGATAACAACGGAAACAAAACCTTTAGGAATTTGATAGATTTTGTGCTACAGTTGAGAATGGCACACCATCCAGAGGAGAAAATGTAAATTTTAGTGTGAAAGGAGGACAACAGTCAAACATCACTAGACAGCATCAATCATGGCTGATAGAGGGAGTTGAACATTTCAAATTCCATATTCCAAAAGAAAAAGGGTAAGCGTGAAGATATCTGGTTTGAAACTCGAAATTTCAAAGGAAACCCACCATTAGGGGGTTGCACATGGGACTAAATCCCATCAAACATTAATCTAATGATAAAAGAACCATAAATTAAAGTGGCTGTTCGGTGGGGTGACTTGAATGGCCCATTTCAAGTTCACAAAAGATCTCAGTTAGCACTTGCCGCCTCCATCGAAATTTCTGGAGTTGGATGAAAAAATTCAATCCAAGACAAATCCCCCTCTTATTTACCAATAATTTACCTGAATTGCTGGAACTATACAGGCAACCGAGACTTTCTTGATGATGCTCAACAGCTGGAAATTGGTAGTTTAATGTGTGTTGAAAGATGAGGGTGATTTTGTTCAACATTCAGATATCAACTGGTCTTTCAAAAGTATCTCATCTCAAACCCAAAATGCCAAGATAATTGATCAACCAAGACACAAAATAATCACAACGGAAAATAAAGGGTGAACATGAAAGCAATAACTGAATTCTGTAAAACAATCAAATACAGAATTGTTCAAGGGACTATAGAAAGAAAAAAAAAATTAAACAAAAGTATGATAGTAAAACAGAAAAAGAAAAGAGAATAATAACAGTAAAAAAACCACAAACCAGCAGCAGCAGAAGCAGCGGCTGCTGCCTTTGTAAGCCTGGAAAATCTATGGTTCATCTCTATACATACAACATTCTATGCAACCTAATCTCTTTTTCTCTGCAAGTTTTATTCCACAACTCCAAATATCCATAACAATTTCAACTAAATATAGAATTCTCTTCGTTCCACAACCTTCAATAACATACATTGATGAGGTCAACCCTATGGTTTTCCGAAATGGTAAGACTTTTTTTGAATGAGTTTCTTCAGCGAGCGATGATAATT